AGGGAAGGGAAGGGGAGGGAAGGGAAGGTGAGGGAAGGGAAGGGAAGGGAAGGGAAGGGAAGGGAAGGGAAGGGAAGGGAAGGGAGAAATCCAGAAACAAACAGACAACAAAAACAAACAAACAACAAAAACAAACAAACAACAAAACCCTAAAAACCTCCTCCCCCTTACGTCTGGGGAAAGCCAAGAGTGTTCAAAGCTAGAATAATTTTCAGCCAGAGCTGTTCACAGCCTTTTTACACACTGAGAAGGGGAGGTCAGCAATTCTTTCCAGAAATTAACGTACTTTGGTCTTCTGTTGTCCCAAACTACTCTTGGGAACCAGTTTCTGCCTTTAACACTCACATCTGTATTTAGCAGCTATTGGGAAGTGAACATTTTTGTCTATATCTAGTACATTCAGAAAAAAAGCCGTTTCAGACACAGAACACCATGAAACACTTCAGTTAGTGAGGTGCCATAACATTCCCATTGCTGCAGCATGATGTACATTCCCCAGGGCACGTCAGTCCTATTATACCAGCACACAATAGCAAAGGATCATAATATATGAATCACAATGTATAAAAGTAATGTGACATTTTGAGTCATAGTTCTTATGCTCAAAGCATAATAAGCATCAATTGAAGTGCAAGTCTCCCTACTAGAACCACCTTTGACACAATGCTTAATAGATATATTTTAAATTTTTGCTGTAATTTTTCTCACAATTCAAATTACCTTTGCAAAAATTAAAGTTTCTTAAAATATTAAACTTGGTGCTTAAATTTAATGTATTTTTTAAATTAACAATCTAGGAGCATTGTTTACATTTAGAAGTTGGAAGTCATCCTAGAAATAAAATGCAGCCTATCATTACATCTTGAAGAAAAAAATGTAAAACAAAAAATTCTTTAAAAATGTTTGTATGTGTCTATGGAGTTTAAATGTAAAATGTAAATAAATACTTTTCAGCTATTAAATATCTATATTTTTTCATTAATCCTACAAATATTTCTATAGTCACTGTAAAAGAGAGATGAAAATTTGAACTGAGTGAAATCAAAATGCTGGCAAAATGGCATTTTTTTCTAATTTCAACAGAATTATAGTAGTTTGCATGCCTATTTCAGTAGAATTGATGATGATGATAAAGAGAATCTGCATTTTCACAGTGCCTTGCATCTTCAGTATGCTGCCTAACCCCTCAGTAATTAATCTTGATACTCCAATCCATTGCATTAGTATTATCTCAAGAAAACAGAGATCAAAGAAGACTTCAGAAATTCCATTTTGTGTTTCCTAGGTAAGGAAACTTGAACGCAGTAAAATTTTATTGGAAGTGCATTTTGCAAAATACATGAGAATTCTGTAAGATTCTTCAATACAGAAGATATTTTCACCTTTTGACAAGAACCATTGATAACATGAACTAACACATTCTTCATGTTATTTCATAATGATTTCATAATGATGTTGGGATAATTCTCCATACTTTTACAAGTATGCGACAGTCAGCTCCATCCTTGTAAGCATATACCATTGAAGAGGTATGTGGCAGACAAGAATCTTTCAAATTAAAAGATCAACATTTCTCTCATTTTCCTTTGGCTTCTAAATAAAATGCTTCTTAAACAATTATTTGAAGCTGAGGGTTTTTCTCCTTAAGGAATGCAGACATGAAAAACTTCACAATACCCATGCTATCTTTTTAGCCTATAAATCCCCCAGCATTATATTGGCTTTGTGGAATATCTAATGGTTGCAGGAATTATTTTTACTTAACCTAACAGTTATGCAGATGCATTACCATGTTTTGCTTCATGTTTTGCTTAGATGATCCTCCAATAGGCATAACCTAACACTGCAAAGACCATGCAAACAAGTGATTAACGAACCTATCTGATCCAGTTTTTTTGTCAGCTCAGATCAAAAGATGATCTCCAGGTCGCACTTTTTCAGTGCTTTCATATCTACTAAGCTTTTCACTTGAACAGAATAACTCCATCTAGCACTCCTATGCTGCTTTGTCTGAGTAAAATGCAGTCTGCCAAGCAATGGAGGTTGAGATTTATTATTTTATTATATTAAAAAGATAAATGCTATCTCTTACCTGAATGGCTTTGACATGTGATGCTGGTTGTTTTGACATTTTTACGACAGAGGCTTATCCCTGCAAGCAAAATTGGAAAGTGTTACAGGCTCTGACATTCTGATAGCTATGGAAGATAAGCTAGAACTTAACCCATGCTGCCTCTTGACGGGCATCCATTTCATCTGCCCAGATCCTGTTTCCATCTCTGTTTCCAAGTTGCTTAGTTATTCCTTCTGATATCAGAGGGAGACAGAACACCTGAGCTTCACCAATTAATCTTTCATAGCCACAAATGAAGCTATCTCTTTCACATTAAAAACAATAATGAGTAGAGATAAGGAATCTCTCAAACCTTAAGAGCACTGTAAAATGAGTAAGAATTAAGGGAAGCTTTTGAGGATAAACAGTGTATGATTAGCCCTGTCACAGTATGTATGTGGGAATTACTAGAACTTTCAGTTTAAGCCTTCTCCCATATAAAACGTAACATGTTAGAAAATATTGATAAATGCAGACATAACCATTTTCTGACTCATAAATCCTTGCAAACCTTTCATGCCTGTGGACTGAAAGAGATTATCATGGCCAAAGAGAAAAGCTCTCTTTGACAATTACTAGTTCACAAAGTAGCCTCCCTTCAAAGTTTTAGATTATATAATTCATCAATTTTCTTTATCAATAAGATCAAAACCAATATTTTTTCTATATAATTTTATGCAGGTGGAGAAATATGGACTGATACAGTATTAATATAGAATAGCAAAAGGAAATACACCAAAGTAAAAAGGAAGAAATTGTATTAGCAGATTATTTGAAATACCATCTCAGCCTTTCATTCTCTCACTGAGATGTTAGATTTTAACTGGACTATGCTTTCATCAAAGTCTTGTTATTTAAATATTTTAATATAAAGTAATGTAGTAATTCCAAAAGCTGAGAAATTAATTTACCAGAGAAGTCACCGATCACCACCAAACTACAGCACATTTCTGATACTGTATTTAATTTTATATAAGGGATGTAATGAGAACAGAAATAGATGACATAGGAAAGAACAGTAGAAATACACTGAGAAATTAAAAGTGTGTCAAAGACTTGGGTACCCCAAAGATTGTAACTGCCACATGAGGCAGTCACCAAAAAACCATATAGATAAGTTGTAGGTTGGCTTCAACTTGGAATATCAGCAATATCAGCTTGAAATTGTATTGGTGGGACTGTCTAGAAGACTTCCTCCTGCATATTCTCACATCAGTTTTAAATCTGTGTATGATGCTGAGCAGAATGAAAAGTACAAATGACCTGCCATTAGAGGTCTCCCTCTGGTCACATCTCAGCTGCAAAAAGTGCTGTCCAAACCAACACAGCATTCAGTCAGAGGACAATCATGTTCATAAATTGCTTTGGGTTTAAATTGCTTCCACTAAATTAATAAATCGGAAAAAATCCCACTGTGCAAAATAAAACCAGCATTCTTTTAATGAGTTTTATATTGTGGTTTTATATATACAATCTTAAAATGAAAGGGAGTTTAAAAAACTTCAGAATTCACTTTAGGGGATGCAATCTCAGCCACTGACATTCATGATAAAATTCAAACAGATTTCAAAGACTCAAAAAGATTTACTACACTCTGTCTCCTTTATTTTTGAAAATCTTTTTTAGGCATATAAATAACTGTTGATCAGTGACTGTATTCCAAAATAAAACCAAAACAATCCCTCAACTGACTAGGAAGATAGGAGTCATAATACAGAATGTTTAATTAATATTTTAATCAACTTCTCATCTTTCTAATCAGAATGAAAAATGGAAACAAAAGCACAGGAAAATAACTTCAAACATTCTGAAACACAGTGGATCTACTTCCCAAACACTGTCACAAAGAAATTCTTGCTAAGATGTACTTCATCTTGCATGCCTGTGCATTGCAAAAACACCCATACACACTGCTTGGGCCACTTAGAGATAAATGGCAAGGATTTACCCTGAAGCTCAGCTTTAAAACAAGCACAGCATCAGTGCTCCTCAGCGAGGTGTTCTGGGTTCACAAGCAGTCAGTGCTCGAAATTACTGCAATCAGACACCGGTTCCTAAAGACGGATGCATGATACAATTGTGTAGGACTGCTTTTGGAGGAGGTGATTTTCCTACCAGCCCGTGCTGTCCTCATTACCGCCAGAGAAATCAGGACAACAGCACACTACTGAGTAAAAATAGATCTCTGGCTCTTTCCCCTTCCCTCTCTTCCCTGAATTTCCTTACAGAGGAATACTGACCATCAATCACAGGGAAATAAACCTTAGATTACAAAAGCATCCATTACAGAAGTGATTAGTTAATTTTTATAAATTTCTTTGTTCTTTCACCATGGGTCTCAGGGAGGGAGTCAAGAGTGCTGCACTGATTGTATTAAGTTATTTCTGGTATTCCAATCAGTTCTGCAAACTTGAAAAAATCCCACTTCACCCTCATTTCCACAGCAGGATTTCATGTCTCTGGCAGGCAGAGAAATGCAGACACACAGCCTGTATTCCCCGGTGTCTTTTTGGCCTCCCCACACCTTACCTTTTACCTTTTATGGGCTGCATGCTGAGCCAAACTTAGAAAGCAATGGCAACGTTAGTTTCATTTGGAGCTGGTTTGTGGCAGCCTTCCTTTGCAAATTCCCTCAATTTGTAGTGACAGTACTCACGAGCACGACTACTTGTGAAATACAGGACTACTGCAGTGAAATAAATGAGTATTTTGAAGCGAAACTTTGTAAAACAAAGGAACCTATCTTCTGTCTCGCTGCTAAAAATAATTTCTGACAGGGCTGCAGCAAGATAATAAGCTGATTTATTCAATTTGCTTTAAATACGATGAGATATCATAATGCCATCTTTTGTAATGCACACAAGAGATGTACAGTAGCACACAGACAACAGCAAGAGCCCTCCCCCTGCCCCAGCTGGAAGCTGCCCTCTCCCCCCCTGTATGCACGACATCAAGCGCAACGGGCATTTTGGAGACAGAACTGCAGTGTATTATCTTATTAAAAGGCTTTGACAGGAACTACACGACTGTGAGACCCAGCCAGTAAAATGAAAGAAGAGAAACCCCTACTCTGCAGCTTTCAGCCTGTTACACGAAAACTTACTACAAGCTCTAGGCAAATGTGGTCACATTTTCCCTAATACATATACAATAATCTTCTCTACAGTTGCCTGTTAAACTTAGTGAGAGAAAGCTCTTTTACATCAAAACCATAATGTAATATTTCCCTAACTATAATAAACATATTATAATATATATGAAAACAATAACCATCTGCCTACGTACTACAATACTCAAACTCATACACACTTCTTATGAGTCATGAGGTATTCAAGTGACTTTTTGTTTTAAATCTTTAGATCCCCACAGACTATGAAGCAATAACAATCTGCTCTGAATACTCTAATACACTGTATGAGACATTAAAATAGGCAGAAACCCACTACTATTGTAGTAAACTCACAGCAATTACTAAAGAGTTTTCATGAGGGTCTTTCAAGATTTTAATTGACCCCTTCAACATTAGCTAACTTATTTACTTATATAAAAAAAGTTCCAAACCGTCAAGTGAGTATGCACACCTCCTTTTGATGCTGAAAGAGGTACCTTCTTCTAACCAGCTGAGGTATTGCCTGTGACCCTTTTAATGTGTCTGAAATAGCTCCGATGCTTTCAGCCTGGACGGCACTGAGTGCTGCTCCAGGCTGGAGTGGGACTCAGCAGAGAAGCAAAGTGTAAAAGGGAATTCCTGTCATAGCTTCCAGTTGTTCTTCCTAAATATAGAGTTTGATTCACCCTGTAACTTGGTCCCCTGTGACACTTGACCATGGTAAAAGCAGGGCTCAACTGCTTAGGAGGTGTTGAAGGAACACACCTTTAGGTCCTTTTCCTGCCCTCCCTCTCCCTGTCATTCCAGGCTTTTCCCAAGTGCCGGGTATACAGCAGTAGTAGGTAATAACACAGAACTCCTCCCATGGCATTTGGGGCAGTGTGTGGCTCCCTACGCCACACCGGAGAAGGAAATAATTATGGAGACGTAATTATGAAGTCACCTCGGAGGAACTATCTAGGGGAGGTGAATGACACAGGAATGTGACCCTATTGCTGCTGCTTTGGGAGGAAACTCACACAGCAGCTGCCCTGGGGTGTCGGCAGAGCCTTTCCCCCGCAGGACAGCCATGCTCACAGGGGAGGGCTCCTGAGCATTCGAGGCCATAGCGACCAGCTGCTGAGCCTGCAGGCATGGGGATGAAGAAAAGCCAAAGGAGGAGCATGTGTGTGTGT